AGCAGGGAGAGTTTCCCAGTAGGGAATTAGCAAGTAAATTCATTAAGTTTTGAATGAGGCTTCAGAGAGGAATTAAATATTCTTTAATTATCTTCTTGCCAAGAGAGATAAGCCTGTTTTATGACAGTAATCATTTAAGAAAGGGAAAAAAACATTTTTTGTCTTAGCTGGGTTACTCAGCCTGCCAGCCAGCAGTAAGCATTGCTGAGTCGATGAAGGCAATCCTGGCAGGTGAATGGGGCCCACTGAAGCCTGAAATGCTGCTGCAATAGCCCACTCTAATGTGGAATATTATGAATACCTTGATTTACACAATCTGCACTCCTTTTAAAGAATTAATTTTTTTTAAAAAATAGTCTGAAATTAGAGAAGAGACTGATAAAAGACTGGAAAATGAATCTCGGGAAGTTGATGCTTTTACTCTGCATCAGATGAGGTGCCAAATCATGGTGTTTTGTTCTGTTTTTCCCTGATGATGCGTCAAAGTTGTTTTGAAGTTAAAATACTAAAGATGTTTCTCATCATTTTATTCAGAAAGGGAGACTATAAAGCACAGGGATTATACCTCAATAAATGTCACTTCGCAGATTTTCTGCATGTGAGTCTCTGTGGCAAGCTTACAAATTTTGTATTGAAATAACAGAGTATAGCAAAATAACATGTCATGAAAAATAATAGATAGTCTTGCGGAATAAGGAGAAATGATGACAAATTCGAACCAAAGTTCCTCTTCTACAGGTAGTTAGAATGAAAGACAAAAAGAGCTGTGCCAAAAAAAGGAAGGTGCATCACTTGCCGTTTTATAGATGGATCACTTCATATTGATTTGGATCTGGTTAGAAACATGTTGCACAAGATTAGACTAGATAGATCAGATCAGCATGCTATTTCCTTTTTAATTGAGTTTACTGTGCTCTACATTTTTTTGGAACACAGATAAATATGAAGTGACTGAAAAATGCCTTGAAATGCAATATATGATGTATTAATGTATCTTGTTATGTAATACATAAATATATTATGTGCAATATATTTTTACTGCATATAAAATAAGACAAAACTATATGTATATGGAAGCACAGTCTTGAAAAATGACACTTGTAACATTTTGGTAAATGTTACAAAGTTAGCAGTAGGAAAGTGTTATCCTTGCCTTCTGGTAGCTTGATGATAATAATAAATAATAATAAAATGTTCTCAACAGAAAAGCAACTGTATTTGTGTTAGTTTTAGAGAAGAATGATCAAAACAAAGATTTACTAATTGTGACTTAAATACCAAAGTTTGTTATTCTTAATGTGAGGTGCAAAGTTCTAGTCTGCCCCTGCCACTAATTTTTTGCTCTGTTTGTTCCCCCTAGTAGGCTCGCATTGAAGGCAGCAGGTTTGCTGTTGCCTGGTTTCTTACAGTTTACTTGACTGAGATCCTAAGATACAAAAAGCAGGACAGCATACAGCTGGGTAAAAGCATTGCGTTGTGGGAAAAAGAGTTGGCAGTTTTTCTTGTGTGTAAAGTGGTGATAAATTAAATGGTAGGTGTTAGGAGAAAAGTGCCATATGTGGGGGATTTTAATAAAGCAGCATTGTTTTCAGAAACTCTACATGTTCGCAATATGGCAATAACTTACCATCCCCTCTGAATTTCTTCAGTTTCCACCATGTATCACTTTACGCTTAGAAAGCATGTTCCTCATCTGCACCCACAATACCACTTCCACTTGAGTGCTGACCGGGGCTGAGATGGAACCTTCTGCAGGTCAAATCCACGCAGACTTTTGTGTTGCAGGGTCCTTTGAAGTGCTGTGTGTCACGTATGTTTCACTCAGAACTTGGATTTGGGATATGTATCTAGCAGCTATCTCAGAAAATCTGGTATAGATTTAGCAGAACGTGCTTTTCTGCCAGCTAAACAGAAGAGTTTTCTTTGCTTTTGATCCCCAGCATATGTAGGTTGGTACTTGACTTTGTGATACCTTTGTATGATACTCTGTTTGACTTCACTTGCGACTTCTACTTTTAGCAGCTTCCAGAAAAATAATTATCAGCCTGCTAGGATCTAAGTGACATCACTCAAATATTTTCTGATATATTTGAGACCTTGATGTTACTCTGCATGTCTTTTTCTTTTTTTGAGAGCGCCTGTCATGAAGGGCAGAGAGGGATGCATAACTGTGCAAGGGAGAAAAATTTCCAAAACTTTTCTTTTTGGTATGTATATATACAGACAGAGAACTTGTCTAATTCAGAACTGTTGCCATCACTATGAAGCAGCTTGAGCTAGAGAAGTGCAGCCCAATCTCTGGACAAAATTTGTAGATAGTCAAAAAAGATCACTTCTTCCCTGCAAGCCAAAAATAGAAGGGAATAAACAGGAAATTTTACATACCTCTGGACCCATCAGTGGCAATTATTTGTTTAAAGAAAAAAATTACAGTTTTGAATTTCTTGCAATAAGTATTTTTTTGAACAATGAAAACGGTGTTTCAGTAAAATGCTTGTGGCTTTTCCTGAAGGGCAGGTTGATAACATGGTATAATTAGTTTAATTTTTTTAAACAGAAGTTTAAAACTGTTTATCAGAAGTTTCAAGAAACTTGCAGGGTTAAAATAATTTCTGTGTGATGCAACTGTTGGTGGCTTTCTGAATACTGATCTTGTACTTTGAAAGAGATTCTACCCTGTGTGGGTGCAAAGCATCACTCGCAGATTAAGAATAGAAGAGACATCAGTTCTTTACTTCATTACTATGGTAACTGAAATGCATTCATTGCATCTAGTATATGTTCAAAGCAAAGCTTCTGAGATGGGTCGTCAGACTGCTTCCATTCCTCTCAAACATTTAACACACAAACCTGCATCTCTTCTACTTCTGTTTAAAGATTATTTATTCTTTTCATGGTGTAAAAATTACCTAGTGTGTACTTTGCAATCCAAATTCTGCAGATTTTTGTTAAGGGAACAAACTGAGTAAAGCCATTAAATGATGACATTTCATATTCCACTTCCAGGATCCCTTTACAGGTATTTTCCTCTCATCTCGCCTCTGTTGTGCTCCTTGCCACCCCTTCCCCACTTAGTAAAGGGGGAAGTGCCTTGAGACAAGGCAAGGGGGCGGGGGAAAAGTCAAATACTACAATTCAGATTTTAAACTTTTTTTGCCCATTGATACCAAATGTTTCAGTAACTTGACCCAAACTAACAAGAAAGATAACAGACAAGTTAGCTAATCATAATGTGAGCTTTCTTCTACTTCCCCCCTGCTAAGAAAACATCCACAAGAAACACAGATACAGGACATAGGGTCTCATTGCAGTTAGACTGCACAGTTGGGACATACATGTGCTCCGTCAGAAACATCTTTAAAACAAACCTTTAGATGATACAAATATTCTGGTGTGTGTATGTTGAAGTCCTTTGTACTAGCATCACAAACATGCAGTTTTTTTAAAGATCACCTTTATAGTCAGATCTCATTACTACAATGGTTAGTGGTATATATATATTCTAAGGCTAATTATTTATGGTATATTATCAAGCGACATTTGGGGCATGGGTGAAGGCTAGCGGGAATTCATTTTTGCTGGGCTGTCAGCTCAGGCACATGACTTGCACTAGGAACAAGCATGGAAAGGCACAAGTCATACACAGAGGGAAGTGAGCATAACTCTGCAATTAATTTCTTCCTAAGTAAGAGACGAATGTGATGCTTCTCGGCTTCTTTCAAATTAAATATACTAACCTTATTGAAGAATCAATTGTTTATAGAAAAATGGTATTGCATGTATTCTTACAGGTACAGGGCCTCAGCAAATACACTTCACAATAAAATCCTGGCAAAGCTAATGGTGTCCTCTGTAAAAGCTTTGTAACCTTTCCAGGCATGCTCCCCTACTCCTGTCTCCTGTGTTACGTTCCTCAAAAACCAGGTGACTTTTTACAGTGCTCCCCATGTCCCTTCACCCATGCTAATTGGTCATTTTAGTGCTGGCTGAGGCTGTGTCTATGGAAATGGTATATCCTTGTAGGAGCAGCTACGTAGTAGGGCAGAACAGTTGGTGTTGGGGAACCACAATGTGCATTAGATATCTTCTGTGGTCTGCTACAGACTGGTTTACCTGGTCCATTGGCCTCAATGTCTGTTAGCAATGGGAGTGCATCAGCTAGTCTTCCAGTTCAGCTTCACCCAAAAGAAGTCTAATTTGTATGCTCCAAGATTACTCTGAAATAAAAATTGAAGCATGGTAAATGGGGACTGGCAAAGTTGCTTTAAAAGCATGCTCATGATCCAAGCTAAAACACTAATGTAAAGTAAACTGAGTGCTCTGCAGCAAAAAGACAATGTTTGATTTGCTTTCAGAGTGAACTACTTTGTGGTCTTAGTATAGCAGAACATTTAAATACTGTTCCATTGCTTCAGGGAGATCACATCAGTGGGCACATGCCAGGGCGTAACTGGCTTATGGCCTCTGATAAGAAACTCCCTTAAGATTAAGAAACAGGGTTTGATGGTGATTCACTTTAACTAGTGGTTACTGGTTGACTAGCTGACAAATAGCGGAGAATCATTTACAGTCGTTCACAAGATCAAGCACTCTACTAATGTTTTCTGTAATTGAGACATCTCGGTTAATTCCATAAACATTTTCCCTGTGAAAGCCCTCAACCTACAAGGAGATGGCTTTATAGATATTATTATTTTATTTGGTTGATTTTGTCAAATTTGTTGGGAGTAGAGAATTCACTAATAGTTTTGGCATAGATCGGATTTTGTTTTGCTATTTCTATGGGAGCGTTTTATGTGTTTCTCCTCACCCCAGCTATTAATATGGCATCCTGCCTTACTATCACACTGCATCCCTTCCGCTCACACACTACAACCATGCAGCCTGGAAGTTATCTGAGTATATGGGGTTCAGTAAAGATATGTCTGTGACTAACCCTGATCAAACTCAAGGCATTGTTTTCAACATCACTGTGAAGTATATTACAAATAGTGAAAAAAGTTCCCATGGCACGCAAATCAGAAATTCTGTAAGTTAGCGGTTTTACAGACTATACTAATGCTCTTTGATCCTCAATTCTTGTTTTGAATCACTGAACCTCAAATTTGATCTGTCACATCATGATTTAAATACAAATATAGGTGGAAGTTACTGTATGAAACATTGCAAATATTGCTTAAGAAACCATGGAATGTAGTAAGGTTATTTACAAATGTTTTCTTGGCCTAAATGTTGGGAGTGGTATCAGTGCTGCTCTAATGATCTGCTATAGATCCTCCAAGTAAAAACAAAGGACAGTATTACCAATGTCTTGGTTAACCTGGGAATTTGGAATCTGCTTTTTGACTCTGAAAATATCTTACAGTGTATGAAATATCCTGTGGACAGTTAACTTTTACATTTATGACACACATTGTTTTTGCCTTTTCAGTAACTCTCAGTTAGATGGTTTCTTTACCTTCCTTTCAGAAAAGACGACGGCGGATTGACCGAAGCATGATTGGGGAGCCGACAAACTTTGTTCACACAGCTCATGTAGGATCAGGAGATCTATTCAGTGGAATGAATTCGGTAGGCATGAGTGGATGAAAAATATTTCACCTTAGACAGAATACAGGAACACTGTATATGTATATTGAGGCTGAAGCAATGAGTCTTTCAACTATAAGAAAGAATCTCTATAAAACTTAAGAACAACCTGCTAGCGTCATATTTCCAAGTCCTAAACACTTGCGTTCAGGAGTATAGAATATCATTTTTTAAATTCCTATATTTATCCATAGTAGATGCTGTATAAATTGTACAGGGTATGTGTAGAATACTTTTTAAAAATTCGTTCTGATGGCATGTATGAACTAAAATAGTGGTATATTTGAAAATACACTAGAGTATTTTAGAGAAAACTTTTAAAAGTGTCTTATAATTGACTAGATTTCTTACCTTAAATGCTTTAAGCTATTTTAAATATAGTTCATGTAAAACTATAACTTACCTTGGTTTATGGTGCACACAAATATTTTTGGGTGTCCTTGGTGAGGTTTTTCTATACTCCGTAGCCCTATTTGCAGTGTGAATTATTTCCAGAGCAAGCAACGATGTCACAGACAAGGTTCTGTGGCTTCCTGTAGCTGATACAAGCAATAAATATTTTTATCTCTCTGAAAGTGAAAAACAGAGGCTAAGATAGATACTGAAAACCAGCTTATGAGGATAGATTTCTTTTGTACAGCTTTGTATTTATGTGAAATGTCAATCTGTTTTTAAAGTCAATAATATGCAATCTAGAAAAGGGTTATATGTAGATAATGATGAAAAATACTTCTTGACCTTAATAATCCTCTTTAAAGGAAAAAAAATGTTTTCAGATGAAGATGATGAAAATACTTCTTGACAAAGAAGAAGAGTTCTGTCAGAGGTATCAGAATAGAAAGCAGAACTGTAAAAGAAAGATGGGTTTAATGTAGGCAAGTGAGGTCATTTTTAGTTTCAAATAGTTTACAGCTTACTGAGATCAGACAAAAACTTTTGTAACTCAGTACGTATTGGGGAAGGGCAAAGCTAGAAAATCTGATACAACAAACAATATACTACATTTTCCCAGACACAACATAATGGATTGGAAGTGATTTGTACTGAAACGTCTGTAAGCAAGTTAAGTGGACAAACACAGCTTCAACTTGATAAAATTCAGTTAAAGCTAATTACTTATTTAATGCAATATATTACATTAATATTTAAAGCCATTATAAATTGAAATAATACAGTGAGCAGTTTTCTTTATTTTTTCTAAAAGCATGGCATTTTGCTTTTTAAATGTTTGTTGTCCCTCCTGTGAGAACCTTCCTCATTCTCACAGCTGAGCTGCCTTATGTGAGGTTTGTGGTGATTGCCTGAAGCTTTGCTCTTTCAGCTCTTCCATTTTCCCCCTGCTTGTCCTCACCTTTGCCTTGCGTAATATCCAATTCATCTCTAGATGGTGGGTAATCATTATTGTCTCTCTACATAGACTTTTTCATTTTGAATGTTCATAACTGGATATATAAAGTTTCTCTCACGTTTTTTCATTTGGATAATGTGCTGCGTTCAGTGGCCAGAATGATGTTTCTGATCTCAGATAGAAAGGATCTGTATGCAAAAAATAATCCTTTTTTCCCCTCTTTCTCTTCAGGAGCACAAATCTCTACTTTTTCACACTGCTTATTTTCCCACCTCTTCTGTGGTGACTTACTGTGATAATCTTGCATCCAGTCTCCTTGTTCGTTCTTCGCAGTGTAAATTCCAAGATTACTTTGTTAACCTCCACACGGTTTTCTGCTGCTTAATTTCCTTTATAGTATGGATGTTATACTCCTTCATGAATCTCCTTGTGCCTCTTCTCTTCTGAATACCTTTGGAGGACCTCCTGCAATTTCATTACCTTTTCCCATATAAATTTGGTTCTTCATCCACTATCTGCTCTGTGTCTTTTTTTCATTAGTGTTGTTCTTCATTACATATTCTTAACGATTCTGAGCACAGTAGTTTTCTGACTACTGAAATATTTTGCTTTTTTGTTTGCCTTCTCTGTACAGCGCCTTGCTCCTTTGTCAAAGATACGCTTAAACAGTAGGACTCCTCTGTGCACTGTTTCTTTCTTATTCCCATCACTTACTTTATTTTACCTTCATATTCCATGGTGAAATCTCTTACTTTTTTCTGCTGCTTCATATTCCTCAGTTTAGTCTTTGATTTCACGTATTCTGTCCTTTTCTTAGTTTTCCCGTATTTTCTTTCTCAAGGACCATCTGTGCTATTTCCTAATTCTAAAAGGGAGGGAAAGAAAAGGAAAGAAGGAAATTAATGAGATAGATAAGCAGCACAACAGATTGTATGATCTTTAATTGGTGCAATCCTCTTCCTCTTCCAAAATCTTCGTATCTTTTTCCTGTCTAAATTAGACATAAGAGAGAAGAACCTTGCTGTTACGTATCATCAAAGGAAGGCAATGGCATCTTTGGGAAAGAAAAAAAAAATTGCATTTCATGGTGCTTGTTCTTGTAGCTCAGACTGCCTCAAAAGGAGGATGCTTCAGAAAGAATACCACCTTATAAGCCTGCAACTGTTAGACCTGCTTTTTGCTCAGTGTTTTTAACACTGTATGTCTCCTATATAAGTTTTCATATGCAAAATAGCCACTGAACTGTTAATGCAGTCAAGTTTAATTTGTTGCATTCTCTTTGCTTTAGGTGTAACAGCCCCTGCAATTTAGGCTGATACTTCCTTACCCACTAACATAAACACCTATATGTGTTGACTCTAGTACCAGAGAAATTATTTTAACCTTTAGAAGAAGTACTCATAAAAATTTACACTTTAGCATTGCAATTTGTGTTGATTTGCAGTTCTCCAAAATTTTAAAGTCTTGTAGGCAAGTTGTCAGGCTGGAAGGTGACATGGCCTGGAGATGTCTTTCTAGCTCTTTTTCACTAGAGGCAGGGTTCATTCAGATGAAATTAATGCCATCCTCAAGTCATTCTTGTGAATACATTTACATGTAGATTAATTATTTTCTGAGGAAAAAAAGATTAAGTTCAAATGCCTTTTGTTCCAAAGAGCAACAGAAGATGCTTGGTGAAGAAGATGACCAGCTTGGTGAAATGTGAAAGTTCTTAGACACCACCCCATGAATGTGGTTGCACTTCTCCACACTTCCTTCCTGAGTTTGTAGTCTCTGATGTCAGATCCACTAGAGTATTGGCTCTGAAGAATTTTCCCTGAAAAAAAATGTGAATATAACATTGCTTTGCTGCAGCTATATCACTTATTTGAGCAAAGTGCCAAAGTAGAAAATGGTTTTACATTGCACTGCTTAAATACATAAAAATCCGATCTTTTGCACAGCACTGCAATATGCCATACTGTTCAAGACAAAGATCCTAACACAGGCTCTTTTTTTCACATTGATTTGAAAACCGTGTAAGAAAGTTGTGCTGATCCATTTTTTGTGTGCGCATGTGTTTTGCTTTGCTGTGGGAAAGAATATACTTTTGTCTTTGTAGACAGGGAAAATACCGTGCAAGCTACTTGGAAATATTTCTCCAGTGCTGTTTTAATACAGCTTTCTAGTGATGTTTTGAGGTCTCCATGAAGGAGCATACATGTAATAATTGCAAGCGGTGCCCTGCAGGCATAGGCTTTGCTGCAAATTCAATTTCAGATGCTCTAGCCATGAATGAATATGTTATTTTGTGCTCATTGTGTACTTGTTATGTATGCTCTGGGGTGCAGAGAGAAAAAAGCCAAACCTTTAAGGTAGGAGTTGTCTTCCTGCAGGCACTTGGAGATGATTATTTTGACTCATGCAACACAAGCAGCAAAGAACCATGGATTCCCTTCCTTTTTGTTGATACAGGCAATGAAAGCCATAGAGGGATGTGCATGTCTTTGTGTGTGGTGGGTTCTTTATGTATTTATTTGCATCAAGCTAAAAATACCTTCACATAAGCTATTTCCAGGGAAGTTCATAGATTGAATATGATTTAAACAATAAATGCCCTGCCATTTAAAGGAATAATAGCAATTAAGGAAGGCAGTGTGTGCTTTACGTAAATAGATAAATGAAAAACCTTCCACAAACCAAAAGCTCCTTTTTGGTTTAGAAAGTCCTTTTAATTATCTGAAGTTAGCCATACTATCCAGACATTTTGTAAGTTGTCTATTATATTTTTAAGGTAATGGTGTCAACTTCTCTGGTTTATCATACTTGGCAAAGAACATTTTCCATATAACCAGATAAATTGTAGCTTGTCAGATGGAGTGGAGTTGGATACCAGTAAGATATTTGATTAATTTTTTTGAGTAATCAAGCGGGTCAGTGAAAGCCTGAATCAGCCAATTTTCTTTGGGAATGAGGAAAAACTTCTGCCTCAGCACCAGTTCTTCAATCTCTCCTGCTGAGCTGCCTGCAGAAGTGAAAATTCCAGCAAGCCTACGCCGCACATGTCCTCATGCAAAAGTAATGTAGCTTTAATAGTAAAGGAGCACTTGAAAACCAAACCTAAACAAGAAATAAAAGTGGAAGCAAGAAGATGCCATAGCTCACTAACTGCCTCTCTTGTTTTCTCTGCCCCCCTTTCCCTTCTGTCTCCAGGTCAGCTCAATTCAGAACCAAATGCAGTCCAAGGGAGGCTATGGGGGTGGCATGTCTGCAAATGTTCAGATGCAGCTTGTAGATACAAAGGCAGGATAACCTTGGGGAAACCTTTCCAGTAAGTATTGCACTCTGCTTTTTAGGCAGAACAATCATACTACTTCGTAATTGGCTCACTATAAATAGCTGTGTCTTTATGATGCCCAATTTTAACATTCATTTCTGAGTAAAAAAATTCAATATCATGTAAGCATGTTAGTTTTTTTACACAATGAACAAGAGATTGTCCTGACTGCATCAATCTGTCCGTAAGCCTGTTTTATACCTAAGATGATACTGTAGGTAAATCTTTGCAAGTGAGGTTAGTTAGTTATAACAAATTTGAGAAGAATTTTGTGATATGATTAGGGTACCATTTTTGCAAGAGTTCATAATATGTATGGTGTTAAATCAATGAATAGCAATGTTGCAGTAGGAAAATGGTCACTCAGAATGTTCAAAACTCAGTTTAATGTGTGTTTTCTGTCTTCCAGGTTTATGTGAGTTCCTGTATCTTCTTTCCTGTGTCCCCTCTTTTGCCTTGGTGACTGCTTTCTGTGCTCATGAGAGAAGTGATGGCTCATTGTTCACCCTTTGTGATTACTCCAGTGAAAAGTTGCTGTTCTGCTCTGATGACGCCATTTATCAGATTAGTCCGACCGTGCCTTTCAGTGGCATGCACACATTGGCCTCTACCAGTATCATGGACATAGAGCTGTTTAGGATTGTTTTTAGCTTTTTGTTGGTTGTAAGGCAAATTAAAGCACCAACCTTAGCTTCCCTCATCCCTCACAAATAGTAATGCGCAACATTCTGTTGCTTTTTAGTCTTTAAATCTTTTCTCCACTCAAAATTTCTAAAGTAATTTAGAAATGAGTGAGTTTCCATTAATGTCTTCAATCATCTGTTGTTCATACCCATTTTTGAAAGGTCTGGGACCTGCAAGCACAAACGATTATTTCATACAAAATCAGCAGAGTAGATGACCGCATGCTTTGTGAGGTTGCTTTGTATGGTGGCCTGCTTGGTGCTAGAAGAAAAAAAAAAATTGCTTACTGCAGACTGGTGAGAAATTTTGCTGTGGCACCAAGTTATGCCTGTTTCTGAAAAAGGACTTGTAACTTAGCTGCTTCAGAGTTATGTCTTTATTTTAGTTTTTATCCAGCTGGTCTTGAAATAATAAAGAGAGAGCTTGCATTCATGAGGCATTTGTTGTAAATGTTGAGTATATTTATTTTGAAAGAGCTGACCTTGAGACTGTAAACCAGTGTAGTACCGTATCTAAGTGTTGTGGAAGCGCTTTAGTCTATTTAAAAAAGAAAAGCATCACATTTGGCTGCTTCTTTTTCTTTCTACAATTTTTCTTAATTTTAGGCTGTATGGTCATTTCCAGCAGCATGTCAGACTGCCTGCAATATTAGCTGAAAAGTTTAGTAGACCTCTCTAAGTAGTTGGCAGTTTCTGTGTACTAAATATTTAGGGGCCATGAAAGTTGCTAAGAGCAACATACTAATCTGGCAGAACAGGTGCCAATGAAAACAACGTACAGGGTGACTTTTTACTAAGTCAGTAAAACGCCTTTTGCTCAGGTTCCAAAGCATGTTTCTTTCACACGTTGTGAAATGGTATTTTAATATTGCACTGTTTTCAGATTATCTCTGTAAATGGTCCCTTTTTTCCTTCCTTGTTGGTGGTTTGAGAGAAGTCAATGATTTGAGTCCTGGTTGAGTTAAATTTTTATGTGAAAAAACCCATCCAAACAAATAAGGCATAACTGAGCCTAGTCAGATCCATTTTTATATGTAAACACACGTGTTCATAAATATAGATTGCTGTCATAAATGATTCTTTATTCTTTTTCCATCCTTTCCCTGATTTCACATTGCAACAGCTGTCAGGTTGATTTAAACATGTATGAACCTACCTACTCTCTCACTTTGCAAACAACACATAAAATACAGGGCCATGGAGGTAGTTTGCCTTCCCTAAGTTGTATTCCAGTGGTAGGAGTCAGTTATCTGGTTGAATAGTTCGAATTAGGTTGGATAGTCTTCACTGATAAAGGTACTGATTCGTGACGACAAAAGATCAAGATATTCAATTGTCTGGGTGCGTAAACACATGGCAGTGCAGTGATATATTTTTTTTAGGGGTCAACATTTCCAATGCCACTTTATCAATGAGTCTTAAATATACTATTAGTACAAAATCATTTGAACTTTGTCATTGGTAATAGCGGCTTAAATTTGCTTGCCAAACCTATCTTGCACTTGTCAAAATGTTTTCAGCTCAATAGCCAGGAAAAAAAAAAATTGACATATTTTTATAACAGACATACTTTTTTTGTACATTGTGTTCATTCTTAAATAAAGTCAGTTCAGTGTTGGCTTGTAGATATTAAAAGGAAAGTATTGACTTTGATTCAATAAATGTTTTCTTTCAGTTGGTGGCCTACCCTTTTTCTTTTTCATAAGTTACATTTGCATTAGAAAAACATTTGCAACCTACGGACAAATTTGTGGTGAAAATTCTCTGAAGAGTAACCTATTAGTGTCAATAAGTAATTTGCAGGCGTGAGCTTTTTCCATGCCACTTGACCCTTTTGTGCCAAGTGGATTAAACCATAATTTTGTTGGCAGTTTTGTTACATTGATTTAATGTGTATACCAGGGGCTTCTGCAAGGATCGTCGAGGGAAGGTTTCTTAAAAAATACATTGGAAACCTTCATATACAGGATTTCTTTCCTTTTGGCTGCAACTGGTGTTACTTTCTTGGTTGTGATGTAGATTACTGTGGTGATCAGTAGCAGACTTAATTGTACAAGTAATCATCATAATATGTACATCTGCACTAAACATACCTGCAAGGCACAATATTGTCTACTCTGTATTTGACTCAATTTTTATATTTGACACTCTCAAAGTTAATTCCTTAAGCACTAATTTACTACTTTAAACTTCACCCTAAATTGTTTTAAAGACTGATAATGAATTCTTTAGCTCATGGCAAGTTCTTGCAATTGCCAGTTGAGGAAAAAAGATAGTTCTAAAGGGAAAGAAAGATCAAGATAAAGCCATAAGATATCAATCAACTAGAGGGTTCTTTTCTTTAATTGTTCAGGTTATAGAAGCTTAGTACTGTCTACAAAGGTGTGTCTTGAAGAGCAGATGTTTTAATATAACCATCTATAAAAATAAAGGGTTTTGACCTCTTAAAGAAGGAGCCAGCCTGTTTATATTTAAGTCTTTAGTCTGTTGAGCTGCCTAAAGCAGTTGTATGAATCAATTCATCCCTTTTGTGCCTTTTCTAATTTTTAAATGAGAAGGTGCTGCATTAGCAACCAAGTCTCTGAACATAGTCTTGGTCCCAAGTAGCGCTGCACTCTGCCATGATTTGACATACCAGAAAAACCCCATCCTTCAGATCCAGAAAATTAAGTTGTTAGGAAATCTTGCTCTGTCTACATAATGACATATTCTTACCAAGTACAATACATGTTTCATCACAACACAATTATTCCGATTTCAGTATTCCATGTCTCTTTTTTTTTTTTTGGGGGGGGGTGCGGATAGAGTCAATTAAATACAAGACTAACTTTCAAAGACTAATTTTTAAAGCTATTTGTATTTTGTGTGTAGGCATGTGAATAGGGCCCCTTCCTAGAGAATGGAAAGTGATTTTTGAGCTTCATAAGGATTCTATACATCTTCAGCACTTTATTGTATTTCCGAATCTCTATCTTCTATGAAGATCTCTATGCATGCCACTCAAAAGATTTCATGAATTGACTGTACTTTCTCTATATGCCTTAAAAAAAATTTAAAAAGTACTATGTCCCCTTCTGAAACTAGTAGGAAGCAGTATAGGGTTTGCCAAAGAAAGTTTATTAGGTTTTTATATTTGTGAAAACAGTTTAATAGAAGAGACCTGGGTAGTACACATTCCCACAGATCAAAAGCTTTTGGTGAGGATTTCATACTGATTGTGATCCTGGATTCTGCAGTTTGGGAATATTGCATTTATTTGAATTTCAACAGTAAAATTCCCATTCCTTATTCCATATCGCTTTTTCTATGATCACAGCTAATCACAGAAGACTGTGCACAATTATGCATATTATTATTATTATATTATGCAGTATTTACTCTTTAACATTTTCTTATTCTTTAAAAACAGTTGTTAACATAGAATGATGAAATCTGGACTAAATTGCAGATTTAGTGGTAATGCAATTCCATGAACACAATCAGTTACATCAGGACACAAAACACTTTCAGAATAAAAGACATTATAGGCTCAGTATTTGGGATGAGAGTTTGAGGCTTCTTTTGTATTAAGTCTATAAAAACATGCTGGTTGCAGCCAACTTCCCTATAAAACTATTCCACTAACGGTAAGAAGATGTAAAAATGATAATCAGCCCAGCACTACCTTATTTCTGAAGAAGTTCGCCTGCCTGAGACTGATGGCACATGCAATGTGTGCCACTGGGAAGCTAAGAGATACTGAGTGAGGTAATTGCCAAGCAGTGAGCAAGATTCCCCAGAAGGAGATGTAATGAAAATTTAACCATTTCTTGCTGGCAAAAATCTGTGCATCAAAGTAGCAATAGGTAAATTTTAAATGGTTCTTTCAATGTTTGCTGTTAGGTGATTAGGAGCGATCTCTGTGCATAGATGCAATAAGCCAACATAACTGGAAGTTACTGTGAACTTGAGCAAATAACACTCTCAAAGTGCAAGCCATATTTCTTGAATCGCCACTGTGAATGTATAGCTCTGGCTAGATTCCTTGAAAATCAGCAAAACGCATGCCCAGACAAAACACAGCAAAACATCTTTCTCACTCTTGATAGATGTCCTACTTTATGCAATATTGGCAGATATTAAAACGGTATTTTAAAAGTTTATGTTATGGAGAAGAGTTGCATGTGCTCTTCAGTATTTCAGAAAAAGAAAACCCATTTACTTTCACTGAATTGATGACATGAAGCAAACTGCTCATACACGTGCACCTCATCACTTAACTTATTAAATCAGCTATGAATTATTTAAAAATGTGCACTACTCAATAAATAAATTGACAAATATTTAATTGTATTTAGCGTCCTGAATAATAATGATGTAGTCCTGACTGTAGATCCATATACGGTGACTGTGACATTAAAGCTTATTGAAAATTATGTCCTGGCTCTGCCAATGATTAGTAGAAGTACTTCAGAGGCATACCAGTAAAACTGATTGGGGCTGGTGCCATCTACTTACTCTCACAGTCCATGCTAGCACTGACAGTGATTTGGCTGCTCAGCAGATTGTATTGGGTACTGACCTATAGTAAAGGTTGGTTTTTTGGCCAAATTAGTTAGTTTTAACCTGGATTAGTTTCTTAATGCTTATCCAGAGTAAGCATGGGAGTGAGTGGCATGGGATCAGAAATAATCTGTTATGGGGAACATTGATAGCTTAACCTGGCTGTGGAAAAGCATCAAGCTTTCTGAATTAAAAAAAAAAACACAGAACATTCAGCCTAGTGACAAAGCTTAGCCACAGCTGCAGCTGTGAATACGTCTACTGAAAAGCTACTTCCACTTTTTGGGAGCTCTATTTCCATGTATTGGGCTAAACAGCTTTGCCCAGGTAATTCTGTTTGGTTTGGGGGCACAGAGCATGTTGAGTACATTGCCAAATGGTCAACTACATCATCACCAAGAGTCAGCCAACCTCAAGCAGCATGATTCATTTCCGCCATCAGTGCTAATTCCATCTATCACCACTACAGAAGACATGACTTTCTGCCTTCACAGAAGCTAATAGAAATGATGAGTTCAGACTTCAAGCAGGTTTCGTATTAAGCCCAGAAAACAGATTTCTGGTGGAGTTGGCAATAATTTGCTGAATACCAAGTTTGCTTGCTTAAATATGATGCAGAATGGTATAACCACATTAATGAATGATTGAGCTGTCATGCAAAAGGCACATTCATTTGTTATGACTTAGCTATTTAAGCATTTGTGGGAGCTTTCCATGGCATGGATTGTCTACAGCCAAATTTATCTTTTTTTCCAAAGATTTGATGTTCTGTTTTTAGAGACAAGATGGTAACAGAGCCTTTTAGCAGAAAATAAACGTAGAGTGTGATGTTTGGTTTATCAATTCTTTCAAGCGCAGTGGATGCTTCACTTTTGGACTTGGGTTGTAGTAGAAGACACTCCTGGTATGCCATCACACACACACAGAGCAGGGCTGGAGATCTGGTAGATAGTAACACTGAA